AAATGGGACTGTGTACAGGGGGCCCAGAGGCGCCCCTACACCCCGCCCCAGAATGAACAATGATGCAATAACCAGTACAGGGGGCATAGTTTACCTTGCGACACATATCATTGTCAATATTGAGGATAATCCTTTTATATATATATATATATATATACCCTAATCTGGCCCAGATTACAGATATTTCGAAATGTGATAAATAACAGCACGGAACATATGACTTAATTTTCTTTTTCAACATCTTAAGACAATGTTCACAATTAAAACTAACAGTTGTATTACTTTTTTTTTCTGAAAAAATTCAGATTAATATGCCCCATGGGCGAACATGTTGGCTTTAGGTCAAACTAACAAAACCTGTGCTTATTTTTTGTCTCGCGAGAGTTGGCAAAAGTGAGAGTAGAGTGCTGTTGCCATGCCGTCGAAACGCTGTTATTTTCACCCCGATTGCAGGTCCTCTTTATTCGGCCTCCCTAGGGATGCTGGACTTAGGGAACAGTGGTTAACATTTATTTTTAAATCGGTTCCTGAAAAGTATAACCCACATTTAGCTATCTGCGCTGCACATTTTACGGAGGACAGCTTCCTCAATGTACGCGAGTTCAATGCCGGATTCGCACAAAAGCTTGTCTTGAAAGACGGAGCAGTTCCCATTTTAAAGGCAGAAACTGTTGTTTATGGGCCACGACCTGTAAGTATGTTTTATTCTTTGATGTGTTTTCCATTAATAGTTTATTTAATTACTTTAATGTTGTAGCAAGGACGTAAACAAAGGGCAATGCTGTTTGGCTCCGCTAGCCAGTTAGCTAAATGCTAATTCATACTTATCCGACAAACCCCTACAAACTACTTTTAATCCCACCAGCGAACTTCGAATGTTGGCGCCGAAAGCTCGGGATAAATCAGGGGGGTGTTTCGAGTTTAGATTCAACCCTAGTTAAACACACCTGATCGAACTAATCAAGTCCTTCAGGCTGAAAACTACATGGTATGTTTGTTGGAGCAGGGCTGGAACAAAACTGCAGGGCTCCGATGTAGCAGTCGATTGGTTAAGGCTAGAAGGGATACGTATGGCGCTACTGGGCATGCGCACATCAATACAGCGTAATTTTTGTCACATTGTACAACAATAATTACTATTTTTCCAGTATTGTAAGGGGTTGGGGTAGGTGTAGACGTTAATAAAACACATCTAATATGGCGAAAATGTAATTTAATTGTTCGTTTCTGGTCGGAGCTGTATCCCTTCTAGCCACAACCCAGTCGATTCTGTTCCCCTCTGGAATTCCTGTTCCCTCTCGGGTTGCAATAAACCCGAACAAATAGTTAATCAAACATTGCCCCAAAGTAGCCCAATTCCTCTGGAAAAATAATGTGGATTTGGCAACACTGCAGCATGCAAATACACCAAAACACAACTGGATGTACGGAAAGCAAAAAGGGACAAATGTCTTGCTACACTGCAGCATAGTAAAATGATTCTCACACTCCAGTTAATGTTCTGTGATTTTTTTTATTCATTCCTTTTTTTTGTCTTATGTCCCTTCTTACTGATACAGTGGAATATATTTAATCTGAACACTTATCCAAACGTTTTTTTTTTTTTTTCACAAGAAAGCCTTGCATACAAGATGCAAGTGTGGAACGTAATTGTAATTGGCATACAATCTCAGAGCGCACCAGATAAATCAATCGATCAATCATTCAAAATAGCTCAGTTATAAATAAGGGAGATGACCACAAAATGTTGTCATCTGGATGACTGTTCTTGTTGGCATATGAAAGCAATGGATCCAAACCTATATGAGGAAATTCTAAATTACAAAACTCGAGGTGTTTATCCATTTGTCATAAAAAGGAGCAGAAATATTTCATTTGCAGATGTTCCTCCAGTTTCCAAGTTGATGGTAAGCAAACTACTTTAAGTGATAACTCCTCTACACTGACAAGTTTTCTCATAGTAAATTGAGGTATAGTGATACACCAAGACATGATAATAACAAAAAGTCAATGCTTGTCAAGAAACTATACTTAACTGACTTGAAGCAACTAGCACATTGACAATAACCTTTTTTCCAATTTCAGTTTAAATGGGCCTATTCCTTCAACTGGGCCTTTAGAACCTCATTGCAGGTTATTTGTTTAGATTTTAACAATAATGCTATTTCAATAGATGGCAACTTTATCACATATCCTTAAAAAAAAAAAAAAAAAGGAAAGTTAAGAAGAAAAGTGGTTGCTGGACAAAACATTGAACATTAGAACATTGTGGAACCGAAAAAAACAAGCTTGCCATTTCAGCTAGATTCTACTGGCCTGGAATGGGGTTGGACATGGATAAATGGGTAAATAGGCTACAAAATTTTTTCCTTTTCAACATTGCTGTGAGACACATAAACTGATTATGTTATGGAATGCATTTCTCATGTGCTTATTTCTGAACATAAGGTTTTGCAGTGTGCCCACTGCCCAGTGCCATTTAAGCAGACTGTCCATCAAGCAGGAGCCCAAGTACATCCCAATATGTGTATGTAAGCTTGTTGTCCACAGATGTGCATGGGTTTTGAGATAGGGAAGTCATGAGGTCACAAAATGTAAATGTATTAATGTTGCTATTTTAAGTTTAAGGTGGACAAGCCTCTGGAACAGCTGGGCATGAATTTAGTGGGTAAAGTCACCAGGACCAACAATGGAAATGAGTACATTTGTGTCCTGGTTGACTATTACACAAAATAGCCTATGCTATTCTGAATAAATCTGAAGCAGTTGTCTCTCACTGCATTACATTCTTTTACAGGTTTGAGGCACCAAAGATAATTCTTACTGTCCAAGGCACAGAGTCTGTTAATCAGGTTTGTAGTTTATTGAATGAAGGAAAGAAAAAAAAATCAATATCCATGAAAATTTTCATTTGTGCATAGGGTTCTGATTTGTACACAACATTTATGGTTCATTTTATACTTATTTTAATGTATGTTTTGCACACACCACACACAAGGGTTTTTAAGCTTTCAGTGCACACATAAATACAAAAACAGCAAGGCATATAATAAAAATAAATAAATAAATTAGCATAAATTAATAAGTATAAAACAGAATAGCCAAAGCCTTAAAGGATTAGTTCACCCAAAAATTAAAATTCTGTCATTAATTACTCACCATCATGTCGTTCCAAACCCGTAAGACCTCCGTTCATCTTTGGAACACAAATTAAGATATTTTTGATGCATTCTGAAAGCTCTCTGACCCTCCCATAGACAGCAAGGGTACTACCACGATCAACGTCCAGAAACATAGCAAGGACATCGGTAAAATAATCCATGTGACATCAGGGGTTCAACCGTAATATTACGAAGCTACGAGAATACTTTTTGTGTGCAAAAGAAAAAAAAAATACGACTTTATTCAACAATTTGTCTCCTAGCGCCATTTTGGAGAGTATCCACTGATGTTCTTCTGTGTCAGCTGCACCACACGGATACGTTGTTTTCATTCAAATCAAAGCACAAACAACGTAAAAAACATATTCGTGTGGTGCGGCTGACACAGAACAACATACGCTAGTTTGCGTCCAGTGGAT